AATGAGAGAGAACACATGAGAGGGGATAGGGTCAGAGGGCAAAGCAGACTGCCTGCCGAGCAGGGAGCCCGATGCGGGACTCGATCAAGGGACTCCAGGATCATGACCTGAGCCGAAGGCAGTCGCTTAACCAACTGAGCCACCCAGGCGCCCGAGATAGTCTTTTTTCAATTGGATATTCTTTCCTTCTTTGTCGAAGATTAGTTGACCATAGAGTTGAGGGTCCATTTCTGGGTTTTCTATTCTGTTCAGTTGATCTATGTGTCTGTTTTTGTGCCAGTACCACACTGTCTTGATGGCTACAGCTGTGTAATACAGCTTGAAGTCTAAAATTCTGATGCCTCTCACTTTGGCTTTCTTTTTCAACATTCCTTTGACTATCCTGGGTCTTTTGTGGTTCCATACAAATTTTATGATTGTTTGTTTCAGCTCTGTGAAAAATGTTGAGGGTATTTTGATAGGGATTGCATTGAATGTGTACATTGCTGTGGGTACTATAGACTTTATTTATTTATTTATCAGAGAGAGAGAGACAGAGGAAGAGAGAGAGAAAGAGCACAAGCAGGGGGAGGGGCAGAGGGAGAAGGGAGAAGCAGATGCCTCGCTGAGCAGGGAGCCCGAAGCAGGGCTTGATCCCAGGACCCTGGGATCATGATCGCAGCCAAAGGCAGACTCTTAACCAACTGAGCCACCCAGGAGCCCTAGTATAGACACTTTAACAATGTTCTTCCAGTCCCTGAATGTGGAATGCTTTTCCATTTCTTTGTGTACTCTCCAATTTTTTTCATAAGTGTTCTGTAGTTCTCAGAGTATAAATCCTTGAACTCTTTGGTTAAGTTTCATCCTACGTATCACATGGTTTTTGGTGCAATTGTAATGTGATTGATTCCTTGATTTCTTTTTCTCTTTCTTCATTATTGCTGTATAGAAATGCAACAGATTTCTGTATGTTGATTTCCTATGCTATGATTTTGCTGAATTCATATATTAGTTCTAGCAATTTTTTGGTGGAGTCTTTCACATAGAGTATCATGTTGTCTGCAAATACTGAAAGTTTGACTTCTTCCTTACCGATTTGGATGCCCTTTTATTTCTTTTTCTTGTCTGACTGCTGAAGCTATGTCTTCCAGTACTATGTTAAATATGGTGAGTGGAAATCTGTATCTTGTTCCTGACCATAGAGGAAACGCTCTCAGTTTTTCCCCTTTGAGGATGATGTTAACTGTGGGTCTTTCGTATATGGCCTTTATGATGTTGAGGTATGTTTCTTCTATCCCTACTTTGTTGAGTGTTTTTATTAAGAATTGCAGCTGTATTTTGTCATGCTTTTTCTGCCTCTATTGACAGGATTATCTGGTTCTTATCCTTTCGTTTATTAATGTGTTGTATCACATTGATTGATTTTTGAATATTGAACCACCCCTGCAACCCAAGAATAAATTCCAGTTGATCGTGGTAAATAGTCCTTTTAATGTACTGTTGGATTTGATTTGCTAGTACCTTCTTGAGAATTTTTGCATCCATATTCACCAGGGATATTGGCCTGTAATTCTCCTTTTTACTGGAGTCTTTTTCTGGTTTTGGAATCAAGGTAATGCTAGCCTTGTAGAAGGAATGTGGAAGTTTTCCTTTCATTTCTATTTTTTGGAACAATTTGAGAATTATAGGTATTATCTCTTCCTTAAATGTCTGGTGGAATTCCTCTGGGAAGCCATCTCTCCCTGGTCTTGTTTGTTGGGAGATTTTTAATTACTTTCAAAATTTTCAATATTCTTTCAATTTCTTTCCTGGTTATGGGTCTTTTCAAATTTTCTATTTCTTCTGTTTCAGTTTCAGTAGTTTTTATGTTTCTAGCAATTTGTCCATTTCTTCCAGATTGCCCATTTTGTTGGCATACAATTTTTCATAATATAATCTATGATTATTTGTATTTTTGTGGTGTTGGATACTATCCTCTTTCTTTCATGATTTTTTTTCTATTTGGGTCCTTTATCTTTCCTTTTTGATAAGTCTGGCTAGGCACTTACCAATTTTATTTTATTTTTTTTTTCAAAGAACCATCTCTTACTTTCTTTCATCTGTTCTACTTGGGTTCTTTCTTGTTTGTTTGTTTCTATATGATTTATTTCTGCTCTAATCATTGTTATTTCTCTTATTCTCCTGGCTTTAGGCTTTATTTGCTGTTCTTTTTCTGGCTCCTTTAGATGTAAGTTTAGGTAGTGTATTTGAGATGTTTCTTGCTTCTTGAGATAGGCCTGTATTGCAGTATACTTCCCTCTTAGGACTGCCTTTGGTATGTCCCAAGGTTTTGGACTGTCGTGTTTTCATTCTCATTTGCTTCCATGTACTTCTTTAATGTCTTCTTTAATTTCCTGGTTGACTCATTCATTCTTTAGTAAGATGTTCTTTAACCTCTATGTATCGAAGGCCTTTTTATAGTTTTTCTTGTGGTTGACTTCAGCTTTTATAAAGTTGTTGCCTGGGGACGCCTGGGTGGCTCAGTTGTTAACTGTCTGCCTTAGGCTCAGGTCATGATCCCAGAGTCCTGGGATCGAGTCCCTCATCAGGCTCCCTGCTCAACGGGACACCTGCTTCTCCCTCTCCCACTCCCCCTGCTTGTGTTCCCTCTCTCTCTGTGTCTTTCTCTGTCAAATAAAATCTTTAAAAAAAATAAAGTTGTTGCCTGACAATATGTATGATATGATATTGATCTTTTTGTACTTGTTGAGGCCTGATTTGTGACCTATAGATACGTGATCTATTCTGGAGAATGTTCCATGTGCACTTGAAAAGCTTCTGTTTTCTGCTGAATTAGGTTGAAAGGGTTTGAATATATCTGTTAAGTGCATCCACTTCAGTGTGTCATTTGAAGCTATTCTTTCCTTGTTGATTATCTGCTTACGTGATATGTCTGTTGCTGTTAGTGTGGTGTTAAAACCCCTTACTACTATTGTATTATTATCAATGAGTTTCTTTTTATTATTAATTGATGTATATATTTGGGTGCTCCCAAGTTGGGGGCATAAATATTTATAGATGTTAGATCTTCTTGTTGGATAGACCTCCTAATTTTTAGATGGTGTCCTTCTTCATCTCTTGTTAAAGTCTTTGGTTTAAAGTCTAGTTTGTCTGATGTAAATATGGTTACTCCAGTTTTGTTTTGATGTCCATTAGCATGATAGAGGGTTCTCCATCTCCTCACTTTAAATCTGCTGGTGTCATTAAGTTTAAAATGAGTCTCTTGTAAGTAGCATATAGATGGGTCTTTTTTTTTTTTTAATCCATTCTGTTACCCTGTATCTTTTTATTGGAGCCTTTAGTCCATTTACATTCAGAGTGATTATTGAAAGATGTGAATTTAGTGCTTTGTGTTGTCTGTACTGTTGGTATTTCTGGTGATGTTCTCTGGTCCTTTCTAGTCTTTGTTGCTTTTGGTTTTTTTTTCTACACTGAAACAGTGCACCTTAAAATTTCTTGCACTGCTGGCTTAGTGGTCACTAACTCTAGTTTTTCTCTGTCTGGGAAACTATCTCTCCTATTCTGATTGACAGCCTTGCTGGGTAAAGAATTCCTGGCTGCATATTTTTCACATTTAGCACGTTGAATGTTTCCTGCCACTGCCTTCTGGCCTTCCATGTTTCTCTGGACAGATCTGCTGTGAACCTGATCTGTTTTTTCTTGTAGGTTAAGGACTTTCTTTCCCTTGCTGCTTTCAGGATTCTTTCATTGTCTATGTATTTTGTGAATGTGAGTATTATATGCCTTGGTAATGTTCAGCATTTTTTTTTAAAGATTTTATTTATTTATTTGACAGAGAGAGACACAGCGAGAGAGGGAACACAAGCAGGGGAAGTGGGAGAGGGAGAAGCAGGCTTCCCGCCGAGCAGGGAGCCCGATGCAGGGCTCGATCCCAGGACCCTGGGTTCATGACCTGAGCCGAAGGCAGACGCTTAACGACTGAGCCACCCAGGCGCCCTGTTCAGCATTTTTTTAATTTAATGGGAGTTCTCTGTCCATTTTGGATTTTGATGTCTGCGTCCTTTCCCAGATTAGGTTTTCAGCTACAATTTGGTCGAATAATCGTTCTGCCCGTTTTTCTTCATCTTCTGGGCCTCCTATGATATGAATGTTACTACCTTTTAATAAGTCACTGAGTTCCCTAAGTCTACCTTCGTCGGCCTACCTTCATGGTCCATTACTTTCTTTTCCTCTTCTTTTCAGCTTCATTATTTTCCAAAATTTTATCTTCTGTATCACTGACTCCTTCCCCCACTTCATCCATCTTTGCTTTTATGGCATCCATTCTGGTTTCAATCTCCGTTAAGGCATTTTAATTTGGGGGGTGACTAGATTATAGTTCTTTTATCTCTGCTGTAAGGGATTCTTTATTGTCTTCTATCTTCTTATCAAGCCCAGTTAGTATCCTTATAATCTCTGTTTAAAATTCTAGTTCAGACCTCTTACTTATATCTCTATTGATTAAATCCCTGGCCGTGAGTTCTGCTTCCTCTTCTTTCTTTGGTGAATTTCTCTGTCTCATCATTTTGTTCAGAAAAGAAAAGAAGAAAGAAAAAACAAAAAACAAAAAGACTAGATCCTGGGTGTGTTGGTCTCATTGTTAAAAGAATCTAGACACCCCCGAAAATAATGAAATAAAATGAAAGTAAACAAAAAATAAGGAAACATATTTATATAATACACAAATAAAAATTAAAAAAAATAATGAGTTAGAGAAGGTATTGAAAAACATAAGAAAATAAATGAAGAAATAATAAAGAATAAAACTAAAAAGGAAGCAAGATCCTATTTCCCTTAGAGCTAAACCTTGCAGTACTCAGTGATCAGTAGATTTGGTGAGAGGGAGGTGTTTGTGTTTATCTTTTGGGGGAGGTGCCTGTTGTGCTGGTATTCAGGTGGACTTGCTTCGAGGGTGCTGGGGGTTGGGGCTTGGTGCAGGCGATTCCAACCTCCACTATGTGGTGTTGCTTTTCTTCATGAAGGCTTACAGCACTGATGGGCAGGATGAAAATGGTGGCGCCCTGATGTCTAGCCTTGGAGCTGAATGTTCAAGCCCCCCACTCTTCAGTGAGCCTTCAAAGAAGAGCAGTCAACCACTCTTCTGATGTCTCCAGTTTCCATCAGAACCCTGTGTTCACCCCATCTGTGTCCAAGTTTTTTCATGTCAGGTACATGACTGAGTTCCAAAACTGCAAATTTTAGGGACTCCTGTGTTGTGGACCTGTCTTGTTGCTCTGGTGGAGGGTCTTGCTGCACTTTTGCTGTTTGCTGGCCAATCCAGGAACATAATCTCACGACCACTCTGCAGTTCATAGTTTATAGCAAAACAGAGCAGAAAGCCTGTACAAAGACTGGCTAAGCAGGATTCCCCTCTCCTATGTCTGGGAACAGTGCAGCACGTTGGTGCCACCTGGTCTTCTTATGACCCAGGGGATCCTTAGACCACATTGTTTCTCCTGGGGTTCTGACCTACTTTCCCACCTGAGCACCTTTAAGCCAGGGTCATTCCCCCATGGTAGCGGACTTTAGAGGTTCAGATTTTGCACTCTGCTCCTTATAGTACTTTGCCGTGGCCTCTGTAAGCAGGGCTCCCTCCCTGCCATGGTATCCACAGCTGTATCTCCCCCAAGTCCACTCTCTGCAACTCTTAATCTTCCAAATGTAGTCACTTTTCTACTCATAGACTTGCAATTTTTGTTTCATCAGATTGATGTTGTTGGTGTTCATAATGATTTGATAAGTATCTAGCTGTATTTGAGGGAGGGCACAACCTTAGAGTCCCCCTACTGCTCCACCATCTTAACTCCTCCCTCCAAAATCCACTGGTTTTAATATCCATTGGTAAATCTTGACTGAAACAGTTATTAGTATGATGGTTGCAATATGGTAATTTTGAAATTCCATCATTTTTGCTACAGATATAAATTTGTATTCTACTTCTACTTCTGTCTACTTTTTTACATTATTTTGGACTTGTTCATTTTTCCTTTATTTCATGCATACCTTATTGCTATCATTATTTATTTTAATGCTCAAATTATCTCAGATTTAACCAGTGGCAATCCATTCAAGCTGGCTTCTCTGTCCATTTGATCTGCTCCCATCATTCTGATACTTTGACATCAACATTTTCTTAGTTCCTTACTTTTAGGCTTGTCTTTTATTCCCTGCCTTATTGACTCTTTCTATGTGGAGCTGTGATTCTTTTAAGTGGGGTGCAGTATTTAGAAACCAAGACATGGGTACATGGATATTTTTTAGTTTCAAATTTTGTTATTCTTCTCATTTAATTTTACTTAGTACAGATAACATGGTTTATATGATACTGTTTATTTAATATTTGAGATTTGCCTTATATTCTAGAAAACATGATCAATTTATAAGTGTTTCATATGTGCCTGAAAAGATTTTGTATATTCTACCTGTTGAATGTGGAGTTCTATAAGTTCCATTAAATTCATTGTATTGTTTATCTGTCTTCTATATCCCTATTAATTTTGTTTATTTCCTAGATCTATCAGTTGCTGAAAGAGGTAAATTTAAAATCCCCCTCTTTGATGGTGGATTTGTCAAATTATTATAGTTCTATAATTTTTGCTTTGTATATTTGACACTTTGTTATTATGTCCATACAAGTCTAAAATACATGCATCTATTATCATTTGAGTGACCCATTTTACTTTTTGCATTTAAAGTCTTTTTTATTTAATATACTTTTCTTTGGATGGTAATTCTTTTTCAGTTCTTTTAATTACTCTTTTTTTCTTTTATTTTTCAGAATATGTTCTGCAAAAAAAAAAAATACAGTGAATGCATTGATTTATTTGTGAATTTACCAGCAGAATTTATAATTAGCAGTGAGGATAAGCTTTATATATGAAAACATTATTTTTCTTCAGGTTTTTTTTATTTTATAAAATTTCAACTCTACAGAAAAGTCAAAAGACATCCTTCATTTAGATCCATCCATTTTTTATTTTGCTACATATAATTTCTTTCTTTATAAATGTATACATGTTTTTATGTTATGTATTAATATTATATGTTATTATATATATAATTATAATAATATGTATGTATTGCTGAACCATTTGGAAGTAACTTGCAGATATTACGACACTTCAGCCTTGAACACTTCACTTCATTATTTCTCAAGAACAAGGGCATTACTTCCATCACATTCAGAGAAATTTAACACTGATACAATTCTGTTATCTAACATACTGTCCCAAAGTTTCAAAATTGTCTTGACAGTATCTTTCAAAGTTTTTTATTTGTTTTGTTACAGGATCCAGTCAAGGATCATGCACTGTATTTAGTTGTAATGCCCCTTTAAACTTTTTAAATCTAGAATAGCATCACCTCATCCCTTCTTAAAATTTTTTCAAAATATTGGCAGTTCTCATGAGTCCAGGCAGTTGTCCTGCATATGTGCCACAATTTGAGCTTGTCTGTTTCTCCATGATTAATTTAAGCATTTTTAGCAAAAAGACTACATAGGTGATGCTGTGTCCTTGCATCACATCAGGAAGCACAGACTGGTTTATCCCATTCATTATTGATGATGCTAAGTTTGTTTGACCCTTTTTAAAGATTTTTTTAAGAGCAGTTTTACATTCACAGCAAATTTGAGAAGAACACATAGAGATTTCTTATATATCCCTTACGCCTACACATGCATAGCCTTCCCTGTTAATGAACATTCCCTACCAGAGTGGTACATTTGTCACAATTAATGAACCTATACTGACATACAATAATCACCCAAATTCCATAGTTACATTATTTCACTCTTGGTGTTAAACATTCTTTGGGCTTGGAAAAATGAATAATGACATGTAATCTCATTATAGTGTCATATAGAGTATTTTCACTGCCTCAAAAGGCTTCTGTGTTCTTCCTATTCACCCCTTCCTCCATGCCTCTGGCAACCACTGATCATTTTACTGTGTCCATAGTTTTACCTTTTCCAGAACATGAATAATTGGAATCGTATGGTATATGGCCTTTCAGATTGGCTTATGTCCATTAGTAATATGCATTTAAGGTTTCTCCATGTCTTTTCATGGTTTGATACCTCATTTCATTTCAGAATAACATTCCATTGTTTGAATGTAGCAGTTTATTTATCCATTCACCTACTGAAGGACACTTGGTTGCATCTAAGATTTGGCAATTATGAATAAAGCTCTATACACATCTACATGCAAATTTTTGTGTAGACATGTTTTCAACTCCTTTGGATAAATATCAGGAAATACCATTGCTTGTATTTTTATTTTTTATATTTATACTTAATATATTTATATGCATATATGTGTACATACATTTTTTTAAACCATTGGACAATAAGTTGCCTCATGAATCCTGTGTAATTCAGTATGTGTTTCCTAAAACCATATTCTTTTTTCACCAATTATACCATTAAGTGCGATTTATTAAAAAAAATAAAAGAATTTGGTCCCGGATCCGATCCCTAATCATGTTGTCTTGAGCTATTATGTTTGTTTAGTTTGCTTCAATTGCAGTAGTTTCTTAGACTTTGTGTAGAAAAAATAGTTTTGAAGATGATAACAGTCATTTTATAGAATGTCCTTGAATTTCAGTTTTTGTGATGTTTCTTCATGATTACATTCAGATTATGCGTTTTGACAAGGAATATCACTGAAATGATGTTTGGTTCTCAGTGTATTGTGTCAGGAGGCACATGGTGTCATTTTGTTCTATAACTTTAACTTTTAATTTTTTGTTACTGAATTTTGTTCAGGAGATTGAAGAATGTAAGGTTTTGCCCTTTGCTGATGTCATAGATAGCTGGGCAGGTACTTTTCTCTTTTCCCTTAGGAAGCAGTAACTTTTTCTTTCTTTCTTTTTTTTTTTAATTTTATTATGTTATGTTAGTCACCATACAATACATTATTAGTTTTTGATGTAGTGA